CTAATCATTAATATACAATTCTCTTAATCCCCTTACATGAATTCAGAAGCAAATAAAGTTTTCAGGAGAACAATGCGCAGTGCTGTACATTATGGATTTGACAGGACTAAAAATGGATAGAAGAGTTATGACACTTATAACAGGTAAGGTAAAAGAATATTTACTAAGGTGGCGCTGTATTTTTGTGCTTCAAACGTGAAAGAATTCCATTATTCCCATAAAAGCATTTCTGTGGGTTAAATGGTCGAATAAATCACGCTTGTGGGCTGTTTTCATGCTGAATAAGCTACTATTTAGGTGGACTTGCTTCAATATCAGCATTCATGGCGGAACACTATGTGGAAATGGTACATAGTTTTGTAGTGGTTAACGTACCTACCTTCATAAGCGCACTGTGGTAAGTTATAGTCATACTTTTTGCGTTTTATATACGCTGTTGATTGGAAAATTGACGACTCGAAAGCAGAATTGCGATTGATTTTTCTACATCCATTACTCTATCAGACCGACTTACATAAATTTCTTTCGATACTTCACTTTAGCTCATGTTGCACCAAGTGGTTGCTTTGCTGATCACAAAATTGCCCTGCAATTAGAGCCAAAACTGCTGTACGAGCGTTGTAATTCCTTCTGGCATTTCTTTTAATATCACCTACATAAGTCCTTTTATTCCTTGTAGCTTTTCTGCTTTTTCCTTCCTGCTGTTTCATCATAACCTTGTCTGCATATTTCTAAACTTGGGGCACGTATAGGTGTATAGAATAAAGAATTGAAAACATACACTATTATAGGACGGTTGCTAGACCTCTACTTCCCGAAAAAACGCAGAATAAAGTGAATATTCTGGGTCCGAACTGGAAACAGGACATTTTGGAATTAGCAGATCCGTCTTGTTTACCTACATACTGGAATGAAGACGATCTTGATGGCGTAAGTGAATACTGGTTTTCACGAAGGAAAAAATCTAATCGCATTCTTCAGCCGTTTCTGGCTCCGATAGAACGTGGCGTTGAATACTCTCCCGATGAGTACTATAAAGGATCGGTGCCGGAGAATGCACAAACTTTGCACATTCCGGCTGGAAAAAGCGGTTATGTTGATGTAGAAGCGAAACAGGTACATTTTTTAAAATTTTTTTGTCCTACCTACCCAGTGAACCTAAAATTCCAAACAATCCGAAAGGTTTTGGAAGAGTTATAAAGATTTTGGAGGGTTGCTAACAAAAGGGCGCTCGTTGTTTAGGATACTT